CGCCTCTGCCATCCGGTTGCCATTCTCCGTTGATGGGGGGCGGGGAGGGGGGTTCATTGCGGAACCTGGCCTTGGGGCGGCAGGGAGAGTAAATCCGGCCCTGATTGCAGTGTGGAGTGCAGACATAATGAATGTACACAAAGTGATGCTTACACTGGCCTGCTGCTGTGATGAACGCAATCAGAACACGGGAAATGAAAAGACAGACATATCAGAGGTTATTTTTGTAAAGTTGCTCTCAGATACAATGAATCCTCACAAAACAAAAAAGGTTGAAACAAAAAGGACTTCTACGAGCTTTTCAAATGACCGCAGACACAATTTTATCTGCTCGATCAGTTTTGTGTATATAGTTTCCTATGATGGTTCCCCTTTATGCAACTGCTTGTCTCCTGGAGTTGCTGAGAGCGGCAAGTTAGGAAGACTTCGGGTGCCATTGCGTGAAAGAACCAAGTCACCTGACCCTTGCTTTTAGGAGCCCAGGTTCCTGTACAGTGCGTCTCGTAGATCAAGCGTCTTCCCCATTCTAGAATGTGGTTGGACAGCGATAGAACCGTTGACCATGTCTGCATACTTTATGTACAGAGCTGCAGTAACATGACTATTTAGCATTAAGCATAAGGGCCCATTCAAACCTCAGCGTTGTGGTGTGCATGCGCATGCATTAGGATGTGGTGGGGGGTTTGCGCATTAACCTGCATTGGATCAAGTCCGCGCAGTCAGTTGAATGAGCTGGGAATGCACCAAAAACTGACCATTTGTGGTCATGCAGAACGTTACCGCGCATTGTGGTGCCTTGGAGCTCAGTTGACTTAAAGGAGAACTATGAGGGGGGGAGGGGTGCTTTTCACTCACCTCATAGTTCTAGCCGACCTGTGACAATGAGACTGTCACAGGTCGGCTCAGTAGATCGGGAGGTGAGCGAACACATACCGGCGTTCGCTCACCTCTCGATCCTGTCACGGCTCTCTGCCATTGGGATCCGTCCAGGCTGCGACGTCTCAGTATAACGGGAGCTGTAGCTCCCTATATACTGAGCCTAGGGTGACGGGAGGATGCTAGTTTGTGTCCTCCCGTTACCCTAAAGAGAACTATGGGGAAAGCCCCTGACCCCATAGTTCTCCTTTAACGCATTGGGGGGAGGTAGCTCAAAATGATCTACAACGCACCGCAGTGGAAAAGAGGTTTTGGCCCCCTCAGATGCACTTACAACAGCGGCCGCTGAGTGTTTCTTACCGGTAGGAAACGTGAAGGGTGAACCTGGTCAGGAATCTGGCAAAATATTTGTTTTGGCTTTCACTTCTGCGTTTGCTGAGACGGAAGGCACATGGAAAATTCCATTGTCAAATAACAGGCGCTTACAAGAAGCCTGAGAGACAGGTGGGGGGGGAGGGGGAGGGTGTCAGCCCTGTCCTATCATCGAGGACAGGACACCCCTAAGGGGGAACAACATTGATGAAGAACCAAGTAATAAAGTGCAAGAATTGTCAATATGTTTGTTGCAAATCAGACTGACGATCAGTGAAGAATTTGCAACAGTCTTTTTCTTTTCTTTTGGTGTTCTCTCCAATCCAGGCCGGCCAACCATGATACAATCGGATCTCCTTTAGGCCCTTCTCACAGGGGCGTTCCACCAGTCCGTTTTTGACCCATGATGGTCCTGGGATTGGCCCATATTTACACAGATAAAAAATGGACTGCAATACATCCCTATGCCTAGGTGGCTGAATATGGTGACCTTCTCCAGAGGGTCCCATATCTTGCCAACCTTTGATTGTCCATCTCATAGTAGAACAGACATCCTTCCATCTGTGCCACTATTTCAAATGAAAACAGATGGCGGCCAATCTACATCTCGAATGCTCGGGTGAACCTTCTTACAGATGACCTGGAACTGTCCCAGGCTTATACCCCTCTGGTCTGCCGTATCGGAATTTCTGGAACAAACCCTTGATAGACCCAACATTTGGAACTCAGCCATCTGATTGCATGCTGTTAGACCATCCATTGGATAACCCCCGTGATACAATGCTACATATTCTTTTTTTTTTAATGCAAGAAATTTGACAGCAAACCAATGGAAATGTACAATTAACCCCACACTGATACAAAAATCCCTACACTCCGACATACTGCCCAATGGATCCAATGGTTGCCCACCAAAGGTTAGTAAGATATGAGACCTCTGGAGAAGGCCACATATTCAGCCACGTAGGCACCAGGACTTGAGAAATAATGGAATCCTTCTAGACTGGGGTTAGGACATTAATATTACAATACTGATGACAACATTGTAATGTCCTAACCCCAGTCTAGAAGGATTCCATTATTTCTCAAGCCCTGGTGTCTAGGTGGCTGATTCTGGTGACCTTCCCCAAAGGTCACATATTGTATCTGAGAAGGCATTTGATGTACACAGAGTGGAGTCATATACGATGTATCTATCCAGTTCAGCTTTCAATTGAGGCTGAAAAACACTTTATTCTTTTCTTTGTTTAAATATGACAGTCATTGGATTTTAGTAATTTTGGAAAAATGATACAAATGTTCTCCAGAGACATCGAATCTCGTCATGTATGAGGAACACAATGCAGGAATATCAAGCTTCATGTTCCGAATATTGTTCTTGTACTTTTTTCCTTTTTATTCATCTTTCCATAAGACAAATACATGTGAAATATACATAATGGATGTAACAATACCGGACTCAAAGGATGCAAAGATATCCAACAATCTGATACATATGTAGCAGTGTGTCATTTATAAAATAGGGCTGGTAATGATTAAAATGTTCGTGTTCGATTAATCGAATTTTTAAAAATCGATTAATCAATTAATTTTGATTAATGATAACGCACATACAGATCCAACTACATTGGCCTATACAGCACAGCAATTAAGTCATAAAATGAACTAGGATCACACTATTATAAAACAATGAACACATTGCTACATATGTATCAGATTGTTGGATATCTTTGTATCCTTTGCGTCCTGTATTGTTACATCCATTATGTATATTTCGCATGTATTTGTCTTATGGGAAGATGAATAAAAAGACAGACACGGAGAGACTAAGCGGAGGGGCTACATGACTAGGGGGAGGAATAGTCCCGGGAGAAAGAGTTTAAAAATAAAATGGGAACAGCTGCTCTTACCTGATTGGACGTGGGAGTCAGGTGTCCGGGAGGAGCCGCATGGGAAGGATCTGCAAGGGCTGAGGGACGTCCTCTTTCAGGAAAGCAATGAACGAAGCAGGTTGTCCCACCCTCCCTCCCTGAATTTTGTAGTATGGGGGTTGTGGGGTTCTTTTGTCACGGCAGCTTGGCGGGTTAGGGGGTCTTTGGGGGGTCTACAAAAATCGGAGTGGATTACAAAATGGGGGGCCATCAGCTGATATGGGTGCTTCCCCCCTGTTGGTGTCCGGAAGTGCAAGGGGTGGGTCCTGGCCCCTTAGGAACCTGGAAGTAGGAAGTGTCCTCGAGCTGGTTGTGGTGCGGCTGGGGACACGGGTGAAGTCTTAGGAGAGGCCTTTTTGGGCTGTTGGGAACCCAAAGACCCCTTCCCAGGTCAACAATTGTTTACAGTATTATTTGTGTATATTATTTGGTTTATTATTTTTGGTTATTGTTAAAGTTGTTTGGTTTAATAAAAGGGCTGCTGTGGCCGTTAAAATCCATGTTGCGCAGTCTGAGTGTTTATTGGGGTATCAACGGAGGGACGAAAATTGACGAATCCATCAGTCAAGGAAAAAAGTTCTCCAAATAAATAGAAGAAATTGCCCCGGTACTGAAATCAGCAGTCCGCCCTCCACTGCTTCTAATGCACGTTGCGTGGAACTCAAAGTGTGCAGTGGGATCAGAGTGAGCAATTTCAGTCCAGGAGAGGAGACTCTACAAGCAGGCAAGACCTACCATGCTTGCGGCCTGCAACCGAAATCTTTCTTGCTGTTGCCTGCTCCTGAACAGCGGGCCCCCATGGACTTTGGAGGGCCTCAGGAGACAGCCCCAATTAATTCTATTACAAATGTTCTTATTGCTGGCTGTTCCTTTCTGTTCTGGTGTCACCCCCACCATTTGCTATACAGGTGTCACAGGAACAGGAAGTGAGGGTAAAATCTCCCAAATGGTGTCACAGGCATGAATAAAGACAGAATATTTAAATCTTTCCCAATACAGGCAGTCCCCGAGTTACATACATCCGACTGCTACTTACAAACGGAGGCTATTACTGTACGGCAGGGGGTAGTTGTAATGCTACCGCGCTCGTGCTGACGAAGAGTGCCCGACTTTTTGGGTAATTACAGGAAGTTGGCTATTGTTGGACGTGCAGACGAGGGGTGCCCGCCTCTTCTTCGAGGTCACTGTGAGGTTTTTACAGCTGTCTGTATCCTCATTAGAAAGATTTAATCTCACTTCCTGTCCTTGAGACAACAGGAAGTGAAAGGAAATCTACTCCTAGTAAGGGAAATTCACTCCTGTAAGAGTTATCATGGGTAAAAAGGTGTCTCCACTGAAGCTTTACCACCAATCCTTGTTTTCCACGACAACCCAAAATTTTCAAAATCCAATTGTCACAGGGACAGAAGGTGAGGCGAAATTTTCTGAACAGGGGCACACACAGCAAAACAAACTTTACAGGAGGTAAAACCCTTCCCTATGCTATCCAAAATAAACAAACAAAAATTTGGCTGGAGTTATACTTATAAAATGTACCTGTTCCAACTTACATACAAATTCAACTTAAAGGAGAACTATGGGGTCAGTGTTTTTCCCCCTTAGTTCTCCTTAGGGTAACGGGAGGACACAAACTAGCGTCCTCCCGTCACCCTAACCCCCCCCCCCTCATAGTTCTCTTTTAAGAACAAACCTACAGAACCTATCTTCGTAACCCGGGGACTTCCTGTATACCCAAAACCAAAACATAAATGTCACGTGAGCGAGGCTTTATTTAATACCATCCTAGAGGAGTCATTTCTTTCTTCTGCTTTTCTTTTGCAGGAAATCATCAGCTCCATCCTCCTCAGTGGGCGGATCGGCCCGGACATCCAACATGTGGACAGCTACGGCATTCGCCTGAAACACTTAAAGTCCGATGAGCTCCACTGGCTGCACCCCGACCTGACCATTGGGGAGGTGCAGGAGAAGTACGAGTGTCTCCACCTAGAGGCCGAGTGGAGGTAAACATTGACCACAAGAGCAGGCCAGACCGGAACCATTGCTTCTTGAAACTCTCAAAGGGTCAGCATGACAGCCGGGCAATTAGCAACTTTGGGAAGTTCTTTTTTTTCCCCCCATTAAAATGGGGCCCCCGGATTATGTCAGGCTGCAAGTCAGGATCTGTTCCCTACAGTACTTCTATTCTGCCACAAGATGTCCTCAGTCTTACAGGTTGAATGACACCCATGCTGTGAGGATGTACTATGATGACACAGTGTCATGGCCCCACCCCTGAAGTCCCTGTTCACACACGTGCAATTTAAAGTGCTTCAATGCACAACAAAAGGAATCTCACTCCTATGCAACACACGTCCGTGCCTTTAAAGTGACATTAAACCCTCAGATTTTTTTTACATAAAACAATACTGTAATGTGCGCCTTACTGTAATCCATGGTAGTTTCCCTTCTCTTTGCTGCTCTTCCTTTTAAATCTGTATCTGTTCTCATGCTGGGCAGAACTTCTGTTTTGCAGCAGACTGCCTTGTCTCTGGAATGTATACATGGTGTCTGTGTATAGGTTCACAACCTGAGCCAGCACTACAGGAAGAGGCACTCAGCTGCAAAGGGAAGTTCTCCCCCAGCATGAGAACAGATACAGATTTAAAAGGAAGAGCAGCAAAGAGAAGGGAAACTACCATGGATTACAGTAAGGCGCACATTACAGTATTGGTTTATGTTAAACAATCTGAGGGTTTAATGTCACTTTAAGGTCCATAGACTTCAATTGTAGCTCATAAATATGCACATGACATGCATGTTTGTGTGTTTTAGCACAATTGCAAGCCCCACCCCTGAGCAACCTCTACTTTATTTCACCTTCACTGGGCAAAACGCAATGCATGAAAAACTGACAAATGCAGATGCGTCAACATGGCACCCTTCATTTAAAGGGCAGAGAGGGGACCGTCCCCAGACCAGCAAAGAAAAGAAGGCGTGTCATGTTATTGGCCTGAAAAGCATAAGTATAAAAAATAATGCAAAGCATGCTGAACAGGCCCCCCCCCCCCCCGGGCGGGGGGGGGGGGGGCCTTT